GTGTGTGTGTGTGTGTGTGTGTGTGTGTGTGTGTGTGTGTGTGTGTGGATTAGTGGAGTGCAGGGAGGCGGATTAGGAGCAGCGAGGGCAGATGGATGCCACAGAAATCAGAGGACAGCTCAGGACGCCTCGATATGTGACATCAACAGGAGGGATTGTCACTTTTGTTTTGGTGCGCATGTGCGTGTGTGTCTCTCGCTCTCTCTCTCTCGGTGTCAATGAGCACGCACGTGTTCTTGAGAGCGCCGCCTCATGCCGTAACCCCTCCCCTCTGCGATTTCTGAGTCACATAGTGCTACACACACACACAGATGTTGATGCAGAACTTCACATAGAGTAGAGGATGCTAAAATAGAATTTGGTGTGTGCGTGGGCATGTCAGTGTGGAGCCTCTGATTATTTCAGGAGACATTTCGGTTTCCACCATTGCAAATCAATTAGCATTGAAATAGAATGGCAGTGTGTGTGCGTGTCTGCCTGTTTAGGAGCTTTATTTTATAATGCAAAAGAGACGTCTTTTTGTGTCGTTTGCATTTAGTGTATTTTTCTGGAGCTCGTTTCAAAATAGCACGATTGTTGAATTCATCTGAAGGAATATATTCTTTGGGTGCGGGTGGAGTCTTATAGCTTTTCATCCATTTATGAATGGAATGTCCAGTCCGAGTCCTTTCACAAGCCATAGTCGCTCTTGGCTAGTCATGAATTCATTTTTTTTTTGGCACTTCTATGCAGGGAAAAAACGGACTTTGAAATGATTTCGCTTTGACTCGGCACTGATGTACGCATCCCTTCACCTGGTTTTAAAAACACTTCTGCGTGTCTACCAGGAACAGCGCGGCTCTGTAGAGCTGCAACGCACCAATAGGCTTTATCAAGAGGGCTCTCTTACCGAGGCCTTGTCCTCAGTTAACCCCTCTGTAGTCGCACATTGAGTTGAGCAGCTCAGGCGAATCACAAGCCTCTTGGCCATTTGACCCGCTTGTGTGTGAGACACGGGCTAATAACGAAGTGTTGAGGGATTTCTATAGCGAGGCGTGAATACACCTTTGTCGAAGCAGATTTGTTGCGGAAATGTCATTTTGTCAATGGAAATCTTTCGACAGTGTTTCATTCATTAATTTATCGCAGTACTTTTTAAAATGAAAAAAACAACACGGTAAACGGAGATGCCCTTACAAACAAAGTCTAAAATGATTTGCGTCGTTTTATTAAGTCAGATTTTTCTGATTTAATGTCGCCTCTCTGTAACATTGTTAGATTTGTGACTGACAGTTTTTTAGAAAGTATGCGAATTGAGGCAGCAGACAGGATTCCGCGCATTCCTCTTCCTTTGTCAAAATCTGGTGCCTGCGTTACCCACAATGCAACTCGACCGCCGACAGTTCAGTCAGACATTTGTGTTTTGTTTTTTTTGTTCATAGCAGCTAACGTAGCCTTTAGCCTCAATAGCAGAGCTGAGCAGCGGGCTGCAGGAGTCAAGTAACTTCTTTCTAACTCCAAACCACCAGACGTCCGACCCGACCGACACTCACTCACATGGTGCGATTCATCGGATTTCGCCCGGCCGATCATGTGTCACACAGCTGCAGGCAGGATTTCTCCTCAATTAAATGTAATGCCAGCATGTAATTTCATTTCAGCGTGATGGTGACATCACATGGGAGCGCGTGGAGTTCTTATCTGTTTTTTTAAACCGAATCAAAAAGCAACAAGCATCGCTCCTATGTGTTCCCTCTCGTACTCTTCTTCCTCTTTTTGGGACCCGTGACTGCGAGGAATGCCACACGTGCCCGCGGCGTAACCGCTCCCTCAACATCAGGATTGGCAGATTACAGGAGCGAGCATTCCTCCATCAGCAGGGAGACGAAGTCAGAGCTTTTATCCACCTATAGGATCTACACCCAGGAACCGTGGTTAAGATGACGCAGCTGCGAGTTCGTGGAAGTTCTACGACTGTTGCAACGGAGAGCATCTCTCGTGGCTGCACCACGACCTTCTACAGTGTCACGGTCTAAAACCACGAGTCCCTCCAGACGTTCAATGGTGCTGACTTTCTTCCAGCCAGTGCATCCACAACATCATGTGAGCAGCTACAGTCCACTCACCCTGCTGGACTGCAGCGAATCAATAATCTCAGTCTTTTGGCTGGCTCTTCTTCTGATTGGACCCTGTTTTATTGGCAGAATCTGTCGGGATTCAGCCCTAGGGCATTAGCACTGCATTTTACATCAGAGACAAGGGACAAAGTGACACATAACTCTGCAAATTTGAGTCCATCACAAGGATGTTAAAAATGTCCGGTTCAATACGATTATACTTATACTAATATGAGTAAAAGAGACCGGTGATGTGGAGGCCAACATATAGGGACTGGGATCCGGTCTCTCAGTTGTGATCCGATCACAAAAGTCGCATGGTTGGTTTCCGTGAAGAGCACCTGAGCGAAGTTTGTCAAATGATAAAACTGGCAGAACGCAATCCGAGATCCAGCTTTGTTTGAGTGGAGACCAGCAGGAAATAATCCAAACAATCCAAAGGACAGCCTGGAGTTGAGGCCAAGCGACCCGCTGGAACGCCACACAGATTGTGAATTATATCTACGGAGTGAATATTCACACCCCCTCTCCAGGCTTCAAAATAAACCTCTCGACGGTGTTCATTCATTCATTCCTTCATTCCGTCTTTACAAGTCCACCTCAGATGCTGCGCTCACTCCTCCCGGAGCCCGCAGTGATGCAAGCCTCTCTTGTGAGTGAACCTCTAGCCAAATGTGGGGATCGGTCTGGATTTTGACTTCTGAAAGATTGAGCTCTAATAGGGACATAACACCGTCTGTGTTTGCTTGTGTAATCTTCAGAGGTGATTTAACGCTGACTGGTTACAGCCACAGAGAGGGTGGATTAGTGTTTGGCATTACTCTCCCGCTACCAACTGTTACCTAGTGTCCATCCTGACAGCAGCCACGTGACGTTGACCGGGCGCTGAACCGCTGCTCAATCACTCTCGATAAGAGCATCTCCCAAATGTAAAAGCAGTGGCTTTCTTTCTTTTCTTTTTTTTGCTTTTTCCTGCTCTTCAGCCAGCCAAGCATCTGACAGATAGCTGACGCGGGGGAATTCACCTCTGACAGTGGTAGGAAAGGAGACAACGAAGGGAGAGAAGATGAATCCATAGTCAAAATCATTAAATGAAAGGGACATTTTCTCTGACTATTCTGACCATGAAGGAAAAACAACCCGGATGATTTAGTGATTAGTTTTTAATTGTATTCCCAGTTGTTTGGCTGGGATTCCTTCTCTTGTCAGGTTATTTTAGTAACAGTAACGTTTGCAAATGTATTGAGAAAATGTTCATCAAAAGGTAATTTATGAACCTAAATTGTAGAGAAAACCAGGTCTGGACTTGAAACAGGCTTTTGTGACAGACAGGCCTTAATCCTTATGTATACTGTATTTCATCATATTTTAGTAAGACGTCGACCTGATCCTCATTTTAGCTGCCTAGTGTCGTGGCTCAATGGATGCCAATGTTGGTCAGTCCATCCACTAGTTAGTTGAGATATTTCGGAGTGAACCACACATTCGTGATCCCCAGAGGATGAAGTCGGCTGACTGCTCCTGTAGCGCCACCATGAAGCTCTACGATTGTAGATTTCAGTGAAATTTCTTGAAAAATATCGGATGGGTTGCCATGAAATTTTGTTCAGATATTCATGTTCCTTCATGTTTGTCCAATACTTTGGTTTAACTAAACGAAACTCAAGGCTAACTCTGCGTTTTGTGCTGAAGTTAGCATTAAATGATCTATACAATAGTCACATACACCTCTCTCCTTTCTCTTTTAACAGCAATGCTGTCCCTTTGTCAAATTGATTACTTCTTCTTTTGTCATATTTTTTTTATAGCTGTTAAGCTACCGCCAATTGAACTAAACACCTCCTAACGGGGGATTACACAGCAGCTAAAATGGTTAAAAGTGTACCATGAAAGGTCACGGTACACTTTTAACGTGACACACCAGCAGGAAGTCACGAGTGTCATTGACGGCAGCTGAACATGAACACATTCTGAAAAACAAAACGGCTAAGTAGCCGCGACTGGATATAATTGGAGAAAGAAAACATTATTTTTGTTAAACATTCAAAAGTCAGGGCAGCAAAGTGGCGAGCATGACTTGACTCACGATGTTGATGTATTGATGGGATTTGTGCCGTAGAAACGTACATTATGCTTAATGTCCCATATGAGATGTTATAGTGCAGTTACGTGCATTTTCGTTGGCAGCCGCGCCCCTTTACTTGAGACTTTACAGTATTTCTTAGTGAGCTGTGTAGCTTGTTAGCCTGAGATGAACCCCGTTAGTGTTCGTGGTAGTTTTAAATCCAGCCGTAACCGCGGCCTCCACAGTAACTATGATGACACTTGGTGGAAAACAGAGATCACAGTGCACTCTAATTCAACTGATGAGATATCAAGCATCTCTTGTGTCCTCGTAAGACCTCACTCAGCTGGAGAGACTGCATTAGTCTGCCGTTATGTAATCTAGTTAACTTTAACTCCTGGTTGACAAAACGAAAAGAGCAAAACTGAAGGAGAAGACTAGAAGGGAGAAAGTGACAGGAGTGAGATTGTAAAAAGAAAATAATAATGAGGAGAGACAGAAGGATGGAGAAAGGAAAGGAAGCGATGGAGAGCAAGAGGGGTTGTACAAGGTAGACCAGATGATAAGGTGTGCTGTGATGATAGGGAGTGTGACACCAGGGGAGGAACTACAAATGCACAGACAGACAGAGAGGGGGACAGAGAGACAGAGAGGGGGACGGGGAGAGCTGGGGGAGGCTGGACGAGAGCAACTAGAAGGGAGGGAGAGAGAGGTAGGGGGGGGAGAAATAAACAGAGGAGTCGTTCCTCCCAGCAGCCAGTCTGAGGCAGAGAGCCGCTACTGCCTCAGATATCTCAGCTGATGGCAACAGCTCCAGGCTGCGCTCGACTCTTACTGTACTTCACTGTGATGGACTTGAACGCTCGGGTCACCCGGAGGTGGGTTCGGCGTGGCGGTGGCCGCGGGATTTGAGGACCTCCTCCTCCTCACAGTGGTTCATGGATCAACGAAAGCTTATATTAGCCGCGAACACTCGGGCTTTCTGCTTTTGAAGAAGCGGATCTGTTGCGATACGAAACAAACAGAGCCACGCGACCGCACACGTGCACTGACTCAGGCTGTTGGGAGGCTGAAACGGTAGAAAAGAGCCTCCGGGGCGACGTTCTTCTTCTTCTTCTGATATTCCTGCAAACTGAGCAGCATGCACATTTTACAGCCGTACTGCATCAACAGGTTGGTGTGTTTGCGTGAATGTATTGCTGTGTGCGTTAGAAGTGGGTGTGTGCTTCCGCACATATCCTAGTGCATGTTCACAGCAGATAAAGTAAGAAACGTGTGTTTGTTGGGTTTAGAGAAGGCTGGCCTCTGTGGATGACTGTTACGTTTGCACGTTTGCAGCAGTAGTACCGTGTGTTCCTAGGGTGTTGGTGTTAAAGCCTCTAATTGTAAGGTTTTAATGAAATTATAGCACCATTCAAAGCTTTGTGGCAGCATTTATTGCTGTCTGCCACAATGTCTTTTTCTTTAAAAAGTGAATACAGATTGGTTTTATAGCTTTACTTAGCAATGGATCAAATATGTGTTTAATATGAAAATGTTTTTACCTAAAAAGGTGTATAATACGAGATTAAGAGCATTTCTATTGCCTCTCCACAGTTCTCAACATGGCGACGCGGCTAACAGTGCTAACACCTGAGGGGGGAACCGGAGGGTTGGTGCGATGCTTCCGCAATGACACCGTCGCAATCAGCTATAACCGTGTTGTACGCGAATGTTGCAGAGCTGCGGCTTGAGCTAGCCAGTGGGTTCACGCACACATGCACTAAAATGCACGTAAACAAAGAACAGACTAATTCGGATTAGAACGCAGGTAGGCATTACTCCACTAAATCAAATAGTTGTTTGCTGCTATATATATATATATTAATGCTCTGAATATTGTATATTGCTCCATTAAAATAAAGAAATACAAGCACAGAAGTGTACAGAATGGATGTAACTGTGTGTGTTTGAACTAACGTAAGCTCCAAACGTTAGCATGTCCGGCTACCAAGCTAACTACACACAGTAGTAGTTCTGGAAAAATTTGGTTTTTCAACGAAACCATGAAACTAACGTTAGCTTTATTAGCTAGCTAAACCCTGCAAGCTACACTTTCACCCTACGATATCAACCGTATACGGCTCGTAATAAGAGGACTGCTTTTGTCAACATCTGTCTGACTTCAAGGGCCCATTTTAAAAATGACTGATTGGTGGTATTACATTTTCAAATTGGCCATTGTTGTCTTCATAAACTGCATGTGCTGTGCAAGAACGTAAAGCTTGAGAAGTGAGGCAAAAGAGAGGACAAGGCTCAGCAAACGGAGCGCTTTAGCTTCTTTTAATAATTCTTTCTGGTTATCCATCCCAAAATTTTCTCGGTAAACCGACTGAGAACAAAACATCAGTCAGACAAAGTTAGCAACCAGCTGGTGAACAGGGTGGAGCATTTAGCGGCTGGTGAGTAAGACATTTCCTTGAGGAGATGGAGGAGACCAAAACGGAGCAACATAGTGAGAGTGAATGCTGGACTCGCATGTGTCGGGTGGACATTACTGAAATTCTAATACGATGACAATGTATCTGAATCGTCCTCGTGTGTAAATGGGTGACCGTTTGCTAAAATATTCACCATAAAAACATTATAAGGTGACCGATGTTTTCAGCTTGTTCTGCTGCCAAAAAATACGCAAGGCAGCTTTTAATTGCAAAGAGCTCATCAAATCGCAGTTTTTAAAGATGTCCACGTCTTTTCAATGTAGATCGTAGTAGACTGTGTATTTGTACTCACTATACGTCTAGTTTGTAGTAATACAGTGTTTTTCTACTCACTATACTGTATGTGTAGTTTGTAGTAATAAAGTGTTTTTGTACTCACTATATGTCCTCTTTCACACAATAATTATTTTGATTGGCGTCTTTGCATAAATGGACACTAAACCGCCAACGTTTACATGCCCACCACCATCCGATAAATTTAATTAATTACCTCATGTTGTGGAAACACTGTCAGCACTGTCACGAGCTCCATAAACTATTGAATTAATAGAGGCAGAATTGATAACGTGTGTGTTCCTGTTTCGGTAACTCAGCTCAAAGTGATCAGAGACCGGAGTAGACAGTTTCCCACCATGTTACTGCCTGACCATGTGCACAGCAATAGAATTAATAAGTCTGCTCGACCGTGAACAGCAGCGAGAACAGAGAAAGAGACGTCAGAGGAATCTTTTTTTTTTTCTTTCTTCTTTTGGGGGGTTGGAAGAGGAAAGTGGATTTGACAGCCAGAGAGGAACGGAGGGAGGGGGAGGAGAGTGGTGTTACCTAATACTGCTGATGGAAGTTTAGAGAGGAGAGGATAACAGAAACGTCTGGGAGGAGGAAAAAAAGGAAAGTCGAGGGAGCATACAGTAATAAATGGGGAGTAGCCAAAGTGGGAGGGACAGAGAAGAGAAGGGAAATGTGAATGGGTGAGAGAGGGGGGGAGAAAACAGCCAGACGTTGGAATGGACAGATGAAAGAGAAGGAAGAGAGGACGGTGATTCAAATCTGCTGCCAGAAGCAAAGGCAGACCCCACCCTATGAGAGTGAGAAAAGAGGAAGGATAGAGAATTATAGGAGGAGATAGGAGGTAGGGAAGAGATGAGTGGAGGAATTATCTATACCCTAGTGTGTGTGGTCTCCATATGTGTTGGTATAGGTAGGACTCAGTCCTCATACCGAACAGACACTGAAAGCACAAGATGTGCTGGGCTGTGAATTACCTCTATACATCAAAAATTGGATATGTGATTGAAAGTGAAGAAATATATATTTTATCAGCACAAGTGAAAAGCAAAACTGAATTTACGAATAGTAGCAACGGGGAAATAAGGGACCATACGGAAAGAGAAAATAGATTCAAACATGCCTCCGGTCGAGCTGTTTAGCGGCGACTTATCTTCAGCCAAGCGGACTTTAATTAAGCATACATGCACACCGGCAAGTCCACAAGCAACCTCACACGAGTTCACTCCTTTTTTTTTTTCTTTTTTTTTTGTAAGTTAGTGTTGAAAAGTTGGCTGCTGTTTAATTCAGCCAGGCAACTACTTTAGCTCAAATCAGCCTCTGGTCACTAGCATTCTGCTTTGGTGAAAACAACAACAAAAAACAGTTTGCTTAAAGCTTGATTGATTAGCTTTTTTATACGAAGATTAGTTGTGATATTCTACATTACATTTACATTACAGTCATTTAGCAGACGCTTTTATCCAAAGCGACTTACAATAAGTGTGTTCAACATCGGTATTCAAGAGAACTACTAGTCACCAGAAGTCATGAGTGCATCTCCTTTTTTAAACAAGCATCTAAGAGCATAAACCAGAGCAAACGTACAGAAACAAACTAATACAATAAGTGCAACAAACCAGTATGAATACAATAAGTGCTGAGTGGAAGGCTCAGGGTAGTACTTCTTGAAGAGATCAGTTTTCAGCCTGCGCCAAAAGATGGGCAGCGACTCTGCTGTCCTGAGATCAGTGGGGAGTTCATTCCACCGCTGTGGGGCCAGGTCAGACAACAGCCGTGACCGGGTCGATCGGCCGCCGGGACCTCTGAGCGACGGGGCAGCAGAGCGAAGTGGTCGGGCGGGGGTGTAAGGCTTGACCATGGCCTGGAGATAGGAAGGAGCTGTTCCTTTCACTGCTCTGTAGGCTAGCACCAGAGTCTTAAACTGGACGCGAGCTCTTACTGGGAGCCAGTGTAGAGAACGGAGAAGGGAAGTTGTGTGGGAGAACTTGGGGCGATTGAACACCAGACGAGCTGCAGCTTTCTAGTGAGGGTTCGACAGAGAATTACCAGCCACCTCTGTGGCTCTGTGTAGCGTTTTAGCTTCTTTTAGCTCATAGTCTTCGTTGGTCGGTGTTGTGTTTGCGGCACGCTCTGCTGTGAGTTGCTTTGACGAGAGAATTGATTGCAAAGTTATTTTTGCTCTGCAATCTGTCATAAAAAAAAAAACCCCAGAGGCAATGGCGAGATGCATGTTTGATAGCAGAGGAATTGACGATTAGTTATTATTTTCCATTGTAAGATGGTATCGGTTGTACCGTGGAATGACTTAAGTGGTTGATTGTTTTTCCGCATTGTAACATTGCTCTCATCCTTTTCTTTTCTCCCCCACCCCAATCTTCTCTCCCCACCCCCCTGCATCCCAGGTGGCCAGATGTGCCGAAGAGAAAGAGCAAGAACAGCCATTGTTCGGGGAAGAGCGTGTCAGGTAAGGATTTATCATCGCCGCCTTGGCCTCTTTGTGTTTTTGTCCCCTCCAACCAAGCAAGTGAACACAACTCAAGGTTCCTTCTGAGACGCCCAGTCTGTTTCATGTGCTGTGAGATTAGTTCAGTGCAGCTCATCACGGCGCTGACGGCGCCCCTGAGCTTTCAGTGTCGTCCTAGGTGTGATCACCGTGATAATCTCCTCCTCATCATTTTATAGTAATATCATTTTCCTTCAGAGGCTTTGTCGGACTCAAAGTAGCTCACCTAGGTGACCAAAACCTGAGCTTAAGAGATTTGTCTGAGTAGAGCTGCAGACAAGCCTATTAAGGTACACGACCAAGTACAGAACCACCAAATTGAATGTGATTTACAGTATTTAAACTTTATTTAGCACTTATTCTTACCCATCATTCATGACCAACAATTGTAAAACAAAAATCCTCAATGCTTAATCACAGATGAAAAAAAATAAAGCACCTGCCAGTATTTCTTAACCCTATAAAATACACTCCTAAACGAAAGTACTTAATGTGACCTCTAGCAGAAAAATCAGCATTTCATAACAGCAAACAAGGCTGTTTTACACATTACTGATGTAAACAAACCTGTCAGCATCAGAAAATATCAATACTTTGATTGATTTGTTTAGTGTGTCGTTTGTCAAAGGTTGCAAAGCAATCAAATTTTGACGATGGGGCAATTCTTTTGTTTATTTTTGAATCACACATTGGGCCTGTAGAGAGTAAGGTAATCATCGACAGGCACACGTAGTTTCATTGGTGCTGTGCTCGCAGTCCTGTTCTGTTTGTATTATTCAATACACTTCTAAGCCAAATGTGAGCGGGCTCAAGCCTCGGTGAAAGTCTTAACAGCAAACAATGAAGCAATAGACATCAGGGCAAGAGCGTATGTAATAAAACTTACTACTTGATTTGGCCCAAAGCAAGTTTTTGTCTTGAAATCCAGAACAGTATATTTTTTAAGTCCTGGGAATTATACTAAAGAGCCAACTTCGAAACATAAAAGTTCAGTGAAGAAAAGACTTATTTATGAAGTGATTTAGCGTATTGGACGAGCAACTTGATTAATCACATGTATGAGTAGAAACAGATGAAAGGATTTACCCCACACACATCAGCCCAATTGTTCATTCATGTTTTTGTTAATGTTTTTATTATGCCATAAATAAAGTTACAAAAATAAATAAAATATTTGAAAGATATTTATTTATATTCCTCTGATTATCTCCAGCAGCAATTTACACATAAAATAAGCAACAAATAGTATTCAACTATTCAAAAAAAAAAAATGAAGTTGACTGAAAACAATAAATAAAATAACTTAAACACAAGATGACGTTGCTGATAGAGGATCACAGAAAATATTAGTAAAATAATATTTACTACCAGGTTATGGAAGGTTTAAAATGATTAACAAATAAAGTGAAATACATACACATGTATTATTATTGTTGAATAAAATATTTTTTTTTAATGTGGCATGGAAAATTCATGTAATTAATAATTAAAAAACTAAATAAAGTTAAAGTTATTTAATTTCACCTTCTTTGTTTGATTTGTTTGATTTTTGTTTGACAAAAACACAGATTGCAAAGATTGCTACAGCAGTCATTGGTCTGAAGACTATAACTTAAAAGAAAGCTGCAATTTGTATGTAGAGTTACATATTGTGAGTAAAAAGGATAAAACATTTCACCTCAAGAGATATAAAGAAGCGAATTAAAAGTCGAGATGAAAAGCATATTTCATGAACTCTGGGAATGTGTCTGTAAACCTCGTCAGCTGGCGTGTTGTCATGTCTGTGTGCAGAAAAGACTTCTTGATTACGTTCTATCCTTGGGGCCCCTGGTATAACACGCAGCCCCCTCCTCCCTCTCCTCCTCCACTCCCTCTCCCCGCTCATCTCCTCCTCCTCATCGCCACAACTCTCCTCCTCTTCCTTTCCGGCCCCTCCCCTTAGCTCATCATCCTCCCCGTCCTTCCCGGCCTCCTCGGCTCACACTCACTGTTCACCCGTCTCTCATTTCCACCCTGTCTTCTTCTTCCTCCTCCTCCTCCTCCTCCTCCTCCTCCTCCTCTCCTATAGCTCTTAGTGCCTCTGTTCCAGGGTACATCCCCAGCTACCTGGAGAAGGATGAGCCGTGCGTGGTGTGCGGGGACAAGGCGACCGGCTACCACTACCGCTGCATCACCTGCGAGGGTTGCAAGGTACAGTGCAGCATCTCCCTCTTACTGAATGATCTTTGACTCAGATGAGACTGCAATTGATTGTTAACCAAACCCCTCCCCCGAGCCAATCATGTCCAATCGTAGCTTAGCAGTCGTACTTGGGCATGGCAGGCCTGTCAAGCTTTGGATTTCTCCCATAGACTGTAAGGAGTCGACGTATTCACTGTGATGTCACCAGTTGGTTTGTGGACTACGGTTTTGAAGCCTTGAGTTTGGCATTTTGGCTGACACCATCTTGTTTTTTTGCTCAGTGACGCAAGAGAGTGGAGCTCATTACAACCCTGAACCAGACGTATTGTGGCAATTAAAATCTTACAATAAACTTTCATGAACTGAAAAACACACTGTGAAAAGGTTAAAGTTCTAACACTAAAACACGGTCAACGCCGTGGTAGCGACCCGTCAATCACAAGGTAGCCACGCCCTAAAGCAGGGGTCTCAAACTCATTTTCACTCTGGGCCACATCAGCGTCACGGTCGCCCTCAAAGGGCCGGTTGTAAATGTGAGACTGTGTAAATGTAACTACTCCTAACATATTGTTAAATAACTCTGCATTTAATTATTGTTTATTCAAGTTTAAAAATATTGTACATGCAGTTATATAAATGTAAAAATATATTTAAGCACATTTCTGTTATCATAACTTAAATCCTTTTAATTTAGGGTTAACAAACCCACATTACTCTATCAAACTATTAAAGAAAATATCAAAGACAAATATAAAACACAAGTTATTACAATAACTTTGTTCAATGCTTAAAATTCTTTCAAAGGTGCGTTTGCACAATCCCACGTGAAGTATTTCATGTGTTTTAAAGCCACGTTTAAAGTAGTCTTCAATGTACTCACAATACATTTCCATGTCAAATGTACAGTAACCAGCCAAAGAGCTCCTTCTGTGACTGTGTGTAAGTATCTCATCATTTTGACTTTCTATCTCAGAATTATGACTTTCTATCATAGTTGACTTTCTACCTCATCATTTCGACTATGGGGATATTTTTATTATCAAGTCTAACTTTAAATTTTTTAAAATTTATTTATTTTTTTTACTGGCGGATTCGCGGGCCACATAAAATGACGTGGCGGGCCGGATTTGGCCCGCGGGCCGGGAGTTTGAGACCCCTGCCCTAAAGCATACCCTGCTTTATCGTCTGTTTTATGGGACCCTAATTTCCAAACTACACTTACTGGCTCTGCACTACATTACAAGAACAATGTTGTGTTTTCATCGACATTCTTCTTTATGGATTATCAGCTGGTGTGGATGCTGACTTTTTGCCTGGAGCATGTAGCTTTAGCTTCAGCCATCAAGTACATATTCACATCCAAAGAAGAAGCCATGGCAAACGCCATGAACGCCTAGAGTCAGCTGACTGAGTTAAAACAGAGCGAGCTCATTGAGCTGGTTGAATTAATAAATGAAAGGTTCCTACAACAGCCTCTTGTGTCCAATAAAGACTTTGATTTGGACCAACATTTTGACATGTTTTAGTCTGTCTCTCAAATCTTTCTGACTTGTGTACCGAGTGTCTGTGGCACTCAAGTCCACTGGCTCCCACTGAAGGTGTGAGTTGTTAAAAGTGAAAACAGCTGGGCACTGTAGTTTTTAGCAAACACTATTCAATCAAAGATAAATAGTGAGTTTGTTGGGGACTATTTTCAGCCACGGATGAATACAGGAAATGACTGCTAGTTGCCAAGAAATAGTTTTGGTACACAACCCTCTATCTCAACAGCTTTCAAGTCTTTGGAAGCTAATTTAACTGCTCTACTGATATGAACAAGAGAAAACAGCTGCCTAGAAGTTGGTGAAACATATTTTGCCATCTAATGTGATGCAAAAAGTCTTAAAAACTAGAATACCAAATAAAGAATACAGAACTCCAGTGATTAATTGACTGCAAGCTTTGCCATCTACACTGATTATTATCATCCAGGATTTAAGGCCTAAAGCAAATTAAACTTTATTTTCCTGTTTATTTAATTAATTCATACAGTTCCAGTGTTTCCCCTACCATTATATTATATAATTATATTATATTCTCCTCTGCTCTCTGTATCGCGCACAGCGGAGTTCCGCACCGATGCGCATACACACACACACACACAGACACGTGCGTAAACACACACACAGATGAGCACACTCCCATCAGCGGACAGAGAGCGCGCATCGGAAAATAAGTTGCGTCAACCACCTGAAAAGCAGACAACAATATCTGCGTTTTTTTTAAACGCTTCCATGTGGTGAAGATGGCAACACTCGCTCTGCTGCTCCGGGTCCAAGTACAGAAAAGAGCCCAAGTGCTGCAAGGCAGGGTGCCTAGGGGAAACCCTAGGGGAATACTGAGTTCTGACTTGACTGGAGGCGTCTTGATTGCAGTAGTCGGTGTCTGCTGGGCCGAGCTTTATTATCCAATTAATGGCGTCCCGTAGAGCAGACAGTATGCAGTCTCTAAAAATGTCTTCTGCCGGACTCGCACAGGAAATAAGGCACACTGATGTCCTGCTGTGGTGTTGAAAAGAAGAAATTAGCTTCAGGGGATTCACAAACCCACAAGAGTCTTAATATATTCAGAATCCGGATTATTGCCATGTAGGTTTTCACATAAAATAAATGTGCACTGGTGCAGAACAGAAACAAAGTAAGAGAAAATGAGGTTTAAAAAAAAGCAAGTTTTGCAAAAATGATATCTGAATCAAAATGAAAGAGCTGTGCAGTTTTTTAAAGGTTGTAGGTTTGTGTGCAAATTTGTTCAAGAAATGTGCAAAGGTTCACAGTATGAAATAAAAAAAAGAACCCTTACTGTCGAACCCTAAGTGTCTCTCGGAGGGGATGAGAATCCATGTCAGCGGCGGTCCTGGGCCTCATTGATAAGGCCAGATATAGATGGAATCAGGTCTCCTGCCAGAGGGAAGTGGTTCAAAGAGTTCAGGTCAGGGGTGGGAGGGGGCGGCCACAATCTTTCCTGCCTGCCTCAGGGTCTTGGAGGGACGGCATATTGCATCACCGTCTCCGCAGAGCAAATGATGGGGTCCAGGAGTGGGTCGTGAAGGTTTTAGGTGGGACAAAAGACCTAAAAGTGCCCAAAAGACTTCCTGGCCACAGAGGTCCGGGCGACTGGTCTGTTGTCATTAAGTCCTGTAGTCCTTGTTTTTTTAGGACGGGGATAATGCTGGCCGTATAGAATCAGGCTGGTATGTGGCATGGCATATGATATAGATATCGTACAAAATACAATAATAAATACAAGTATTTATTTCTTGCTATGCAGTTTAGTTTTGTACGGTTTCAGAAGGATTTCACAAAACGGCAGAGCTCCGTCCCTGATACTTCTCTGCTTGAATGCACGTCTTTGTAAACCACTCCCAGAGTGTGATTTCTAATCAAACTGCTCCCCCACTGTCTTGTTCAAAAGCGGTCACTAAGAGACGATCAGTCACGGCATCGCTTCATTACTTATTATTCTTGGCAATCAGGTTCCTGCCATGCAATCATCACCCTGCCATGTGATATGAGCCATTGGATGCACTTATTTTACGCTGATTAAAAACATTTAATTGGAGGATTTCATTTTGAGGCTATGGGGTTGCATATTTTCCTCAATCTCTGAATGCTCCTTAGCTCTTATTTATTTTTGCTCTATTTTTTTTTAATTCCTTTATTTTACTGTTTCTCCCTTTTGTCTTTTCTTCTTCTTTCTCCATTTTCTTTGCTCTCTTCAGGGTTTTTTCCGCCGGACCATCCAGAAGAACCTCCATCCAGCCTACTCGTGTAAATATGAAGCCTGCTGCATCATCGATAAGATCACACGCAACCAGTGCCAGCTGTGCCGCTTCAAGAAGTGCATCAGTGTGGGCATGGCCATGGACTGTGAGTGTGTGTGTGTGTGTGTGTGTGTGTGTGTTAGGGAGGAGCTCAGCCCCGACACAGAGAGCAGAGGAGACGCTGCAGCATAATGATAAATTACAGATGATATTAAGTAACGATAAAAGAAACAATAACATCTGAGCTTATCAATACTACGGTCTTTCGTGGGACTGTTCCCTCCAAAATCAAAAAATACTCATCCTCTTTCCTCTAGTACTATTTATCAATCTAGATCGCCCGTGGAGATGTCTGCTTTTTATCGAAGATAATATGACTACATGGCACTTTGCTTGTGGTGCTCAAAACGCCAAAAAAATACATTTGGAAAACTCAACAACATTAATGTCTCTCTCTAGATATCATGACTCTGTTACTGAAGATAATCCACAGACCTCGTTGAGTGCACTTTCATGTAGGAACTATTTTAACTGTAGTAGCCCCTCCCTAATCACATGGACTAACAGAGAACACATGCATAATCTAATTTATTGATATTGATTTAGCGGTACAGCTGCTCACGTGGATAAAGGAAATGGAAGTTCCATTCCTCGTGATCATTTTGATGAATGACACTCCAATTTAATTATGTTGCTTAAATTTCACAGCAGTTGGTCCTTTACATTTTTGTGCTGTGATTTGTTGCAGTGGAGGGCAGCTAATAAGTAACCAGAGAAATAACGTTGCACATTGTGTCCATACAACACTTAGTATTGCATAACATGAAGATGGGTTCCTTACATTTATATTGTTTTATATAATAATAGCTCTCTTAGTCCTTATATATGATTATAGCTTTCAGTGTTGCATCTGATATTTCATTCCGACTTCCTGTCAGTATTTCTATATGCTTTCTTTTGTAATAATCCGGTGTCATATCGGGACCAAATTTGCAGTCAGTGTTCCCTTTGTCACTGCATTAACTTGCCTTGATGTCCTCCCCACCCGTCCCGCCGATCAGTGGTGTTGGACGATTCGAAGCGCGTGGCCAAGCGGCGTCTGATCGAGGAGAACCGACAGAAAAGGAAGAGGGAGGAGATGGTGCGGACGTTGCAGACGCGGCCGGAGCCAAACAGCGCAGAGTGGGATCTCATCAGGATGGCAACGGAGGCCCACCGGCACACCAACGCACAGGGCTCCTGCTGGAAACAGAAGCGCAAGTTCCTGGTAAGCTTCCAGTTTTAAAGCAGACAGAGCCTTCAGGCAGAGAGCCGTTGTGTGATGATGAACGCAAATGTTTCACAAACAAGTCCATTGCAGTTGACGCGTGGGGGTTCAATCGCGGCTACTTAATATTTAGAAAGGTTTTACATCATGCTGGCCTGTATCCGCTGTGTTCTTTCAACAACAAAGAAAGGAGCAGCAGCAAGTATAAGAAAGGCCCGCCGAAAAAAAAGATCTATCAGTTTAAGTGTGCACTATATTTAGAATATTTTCACCGCTGCATCTTGCCGCCACACAGCCCTTTGAAGCAGTTATCTACGTTCTCTTCAAAGCCACCAGACTCCATTGACAAAAACAGTCATTTTACCATCGTAGAACACAGGAGCTGCTTGTCTAACGTTGCCTCGTATGTTATTGTGTGACTTAAGTGAATCCTAAACTAACTCTCACCAAAGTCACACAATGACACAAACAAACTAACCGATCGAGGAAGCGGTAAACCAGCAACTCCCGTGTTCTGCGAGGTCAAATGAATTTTTGTCAAAGGAGTAAAGATACTGTGTGAGATGAGAGCAACATAATCAACGGTTACAGCAGCTTGCTCATTTCAGTTTCAAAGCAATAACAGACATGATGCACATTGTTGCTAGAGTTGTGTTCAGTGTGACCTTCACTTTCGGAGGATGCCCACAGCTTGTGGAAAGTAGTTTCCGCTTCAAAACTCCAGCTCAAACGCATGAGAGATGGCTTTTTCATTTTCAAAAAGGAGCCGTTTGTGTGCCGCCCCATGTGAGTCGGTTGCACGTGCTGATGCATGTGTCTCCACCGCAGACTGTTACCTAAAGGCAAATGTCAGATAGCAGTTACCGGCCAACCAGAGTTAAGTTCACAGCCGACAACAGTTGTTGAAGGTCTGCTGGGATTCCTGCAAGTGACACAGCAGGCTGGGTCAATCAGAGCACAGCTACTGACTGTTACTGTTACAGCAGCTTCACTGCTTCAGAGAGAAAGAAGAACTGTATTAATCCTTCTTGGAGTTTTTATTTTAGACCCTTTTATCATCAGAAATATGTGTGCGAGTTTTCTTTTTTCGAGTTATCAAACTTTAAATATTGAATTTAAACTGTCAACAGCATCAAAATGTCGGGTTTTTGCGTGTTTGGTCGTCACAATCGATATTCCAAAAGCCGACTCAATTGTACAGAATTCAGACAGGATCGCAACTGTTAGAGGTGTTTCAGTTCAACTGGTGACCGTGTTAACTGGTGACTTTCAGCCGAACGTTTATGTGGTTGCTCGCAATAACTTACATAAATGGTCGGCGTAGATAATAAACGCGGATAAATATGTATATTGATTAAAGGCTTTCTTGAGGACGCCGACATGTTCTGTTCGTGTTTTCAACAGCAACCATGAACGCATTGAGCTGGGAGTCACCAGTTGACACGGTCACTCGTTAAACCCAAACACCCCCAGGTTTCCCTCCAGTCGTCCATGTGTTGCTTAAAGCTGTTTCCCTGTCTGCCATAGCTCTCAAGTTCAAAACAGGATGGTGTTACATACCCGCATTAGGTTTCACTCAGCTAAGAGTGTCATGTGTTG